AGGGAATAGGATAGAATAGAATAGAATAGAATAGAATAGAATAGAATAGAATAGAATAGAATAGAATAGAATAGAATAGAATAGAAAGGAATAGGAATAGGTATCAGGAGGGGGGGAGAGAGAATAGAGAATATAGAATAGGGTAGGGTATTGAGTATAGAGCAGAGTATATAGTATAGTATAATAAAGTAGAACAGAAGAGAATAGTAGAGAATCTCCATAGACAGGTGAGCACATAGGCTTTAGTCTTTGTCTTCCCCAACATTTCTCTCAGATCATTTGGAAAGAAACCAAATGACCTTTTGTGCCTTTAACATCTCAAAAAAGTGGTCCATCTTGGGCCATCTCCGTTTTCCCTTTGAAGTCGTGTTGGCAGTTGAGATGGCTCTGCTCCAACCGGCCCACCTTCAGAGCATCTTCAAAGATTCAACTGCCAGCTGAGAACGTTTGCATGGCTCCAGGCATGGCCTGATACTGGCCAACCTATGACCTTCCCCCTTTTCTTGAAGCCAAAGAACGCTTTCCAAAGCCCCTCCTTCGGAAAGTCCAAAATCACACCGAGAGAAGGGAGGCGTTTAACTAACAGACATGGAAAAACTTATGGCTCCCTTCTAGTGTTTGTGTTTCCGTTGTGGTAGACTTGTTCAAGAAAAGAATTCGCTTCAGATTTAGGGATTAGGATATTGTCTCTTGATTCCCAGACGGCTTGATCTGATCAAACACCCCCCCGCCCTGTGATGGCAGCCTCACAGTACAGAAGTACTTAAACTACTTGTTGAAGAGATTGAAAGAAAAATGTCCTGTTGAGTCAAATGAGAGTCAGCTAAAGAAAGATAGCGGGATGTGGTGGCTCAGTGGCAAAGATGCTGAGCTTGTCGATGAGAAAGGTCGGCAGTTCAGTGTTTCGAATCCCTAACGCCGCGTAACGGAGTGAGCTCCCGTTACTTGTCCCGCTTCTGCCAACCTAGCAGTTTGAAAGCACGTAAAAAATGCAAGTAGAAAAATAGGGACCACTTTGGTGGGAAGGTAACAGCGTTTCATGTGCCTGAAAGCAGGGGGCTGGACTAGAAGGCCTCCAAGTTCTGTTCTGTTCTACTCTACTCTACTCTACTCCGTGACCCGACAAAAGCGCGAACATCAAAACCGCGCCGACAAAACCGCGGCGCTAAAACCGCGATGTCAAAAGCGCGCCGACAACAGCGCGCNAGGATGCGACATGTTGAATGGAAGGTTTATGGATCTAAAGTTGCTTAACAGATGGCAAACACCAAGGAAAAGGAGGGAGAACAGGAGAAAATAGGAGGGGCTCTTCCCAATGCTCTAGTTAATGCAACTGCTCCCTTGTGCCTTTTCTGGGGGGAAAATAGCCCAAGGGAACATGGGTGAAGAAGTTCATAAGGTGAAGCTGGAGGAGCAATGGTATGCTGCAAGGGCATAGCTGGGAAAGTGATCAATAAACTTTCAGTTCTCTTGTCCAGGGGTACCTGGAAGAAGCAACTTTTGATAGCTGGGGTTATCAAAACACGAATGGAATAGGCAAAATTATGCTGATCCTCCCATGGTGCATTGCACAAAAAAACAAGGGAACTGGTAATGAGTCTAAAGCGCTGATTTTCTTGGATTTTTAATTGTTTAACAAATGTAATGAATCCTATGATCCACCTATCTTTAGTCTGGTGTGGCTAGTGAGCTTTCTTTGTGAATTGACAGTTTCCACTTTCTGCAACAGCTGAAGTTATTCAGCCTTTTGATTGCAACATCGTATCCTTTTAGACATGAGTCTCTGGCTGTGGTTTGACAGTTTAGAGGGGGGAAACAGGAGGTGTTCTTTTTACTTTTAGCGTCTTGCGTGTTCTTTTCCTTGGCTTCTCTCTTCCTTAGGTTTTTTTTTAATTAATTGAGGTGAGGGTTTCCTTTGGGGAAGTTGTGTCTTTTCTTACACAGTCAAGTACAATTATTCCATTCTGTGCCAACTCCACCCTCATGCTTTGTAATTCTCTTTTTGGTGACAGAGAAATCACTTTTCAAACTTTTCATTTCCATCATTATTATTTTTTTCCAAAAAACGGGGCTTGGGGAATCAATCATCAACTCTACAAACTTTGTAAGTAGCAGCTTCACTCTGGGATCAAAGGCAGCCAGGTTAGAAGGGAGATGGATTCCCAACGCACAATGACAGATTGTGCAAATCCTGCAAGAATGGCTAATCAATCACCAGGTGAAGTGTGAGTGGAATCTATTTGATCTCTAAATTCACTACTAACTCTACACTCATGTAGGAGTCAGCATGACATCCCAGCTGCTCCTAGTCCTTGAAAACCTGGAGGGTGATTGGCTGAAGGAATGGGCTGCTTCTGCCCATCCTCTTCCTCCTCTATAATATAAGAGTGCTCAATGCCTGGAATGCTCTACCTGACTCCATTGTTATATCCTCTAACCCTCACAGCTTCAACCTTAAACTGTCTACAATGGACCTTACCCCATTCCTAAGAGGTCGGTAAAGGGGGCGTGCATAAGCACACCAGAGTGCCTAACGTCCGTGTCCCCATCTATTTGTATTCATTTCTTTTGTTTATATCCATGTTTATATTCATACCTGCTATCTTGTACGTGTTTGACAAACTAATAAATACAAATAATTCCTATGTAGATATGAGGTGGGGGGGGAGGGGAAGAGGAAGAGAAAAAAAGCATGGCTAGGCAAGGCAAAAGAAAACATCCGCAGCAACTGTTAGACAGATGATTAAGTCATTCTCCTGGTCTTTTCTTTCCTCTCTCACTTCTTCTTACATCTCTGTTTGATTTCCTTCACTCTGCTCTTGGACTTTTGGGGAAGGTTCCCCCCCACCTGAAAACCATATGTGTTCTTATCCAAGAAGTGAGACGCCTTCAAAGAAAAATCAAAAAGTTCAGTTGCCTCTTGAAAAAGCACCTTTGGGACATAGAAGTGATACTGTTCTCCAAACTAAAATGCATCCTGCATTCAGTTGAACACAGACCCTGCCCAGCTCAGGAAAAAAGAGCTCCAAATTTAAAGATACTTAGCATTTTCTCAGACGTCTATTTGTGCCCAAGTTTGGTGAATTTGCATTCCCATCACCTGTAAAACCTTGTGAAATACAGATATTGGTCCCATTTTATAGATAGGAAATTGAAGCTGGGAGAGAGACTATCATGTGTGAAATAGAAAACTAAATCAGTTCTTCTTCCTTGAGGATATAGTATTTAGTTGAATATTTCCACTGAAGACATAGTATTTCAAATAATCCTATTTACCCACACACACATAGATTCCTTCTCAACATTTTATAGATTATTACATGTGACCTGAGCTAGCATCTCCTGAATGTATCAATCTCAGTCTAGATGTTTAACTCAGATTCCAAATATACATGAAAACGCTTAGCTTGTTGGCAGCCTGCTTTCAAAGCAGGACCAAGGCTGCTTCTCCACTGCTGGACTTCCCTCTTACTGCTACAGACACTGACCCTGCTGCCTTGCTGCACACAGGGAAGGAACTTTTGGGCAGCCATATACCTTGCTCCTTTCCTTCAGCAACTGGCTAAAATGATGGCTGGGGCTTCGTCAGTTCCTTGCAAAATGCGATTTGCTGATTGTAGCATGCATTTTTATGCACATAATGCATTTATTACGAAATGCATCCTCTGAAGCCCCATTCTGGGCTCAGCAGCACCTTTCTGAAATTCCTTCACTTTGTGGAGAGAGGGAACAAGCATGGAATTCGACTGCCTAAGCCAGAGTTGTCCACGGGATCTTGACACAAGTCATTTTCTCACAGGGGGAAACCACCCAGGAGGGGAGGGTCAAGGCAGGGTCAGGCCAAGGCAAAGCAACTAATTCACCAAACTGCACATAAAATTAACAAGAGTTGTAGTGAACCGGTGTGAACCAGCTGAATCCCACCAGTGTCAACTCTCAGTCTTTGAGATAGCTTCAAAGGTAAGACTGGATAATATGTCAGAGAGGGGAGCTGGAAAGCAGGTTAGTGTGGTGGGGAGGGAATGGGGATTTTGCAGTAACCTTCCCCCAGGAGTGGGAAGGGAATGAGGATTTTGCAGTATCCTTCTCCTGCCACGCCCACAAAGCCACACCATGCCCATCAAGCCACACCCACAGAACCAGTAGTAAAAAATTTTGAATCCCACCACTGGTAGAAGGTTATGCAATCAGAAGCTACTGCTTCTTCATGTTCTCATGAAATGGTTCTTTTACTTCTTTTTTTTTCTTTGCCAAATAGATAACATAGTTCATCACATTGAAATATATTGCTAACATTTATGAGACCTGTACGCTATCACATTTGGAGAATCTCATGTTAGGGAAGGTTGTTCTGACAGTAATATTATCTAAATTAAAGTCATGTATTTAATGCATTTGTTTCTGCAAAGCAAATGAAAAACTATTATAATAACTTTTTTAATCTCTGTTTTGATCCTAAAAAGCAAGTTTCATGATGAACTGAAAGACTTCTGCAGGAATATATTATTTCTTGGTATGAAACTTCAAAGTACATCAGGAACCAACACTTTGTTCTAAAAGTCCAGCAGAAAAACATCAATGATAAATCCTTACTTTTTCCTTTCTCTTTCTAGTATCCTGAATAAATCCTTAAAATACTGGGGCACTCGGACAATCACATTTTCTGAAGCATCAATGTCCTTCAGGTCAGGATAGAGTTTAGTATCGATCAACTTCTTGATATATGCCAGCCAGTCAAACTGAAAGATATATAAATGTTTAGCTTTTGGCTCATTAAAAAAAAAAGTTGAGTAAGTTTTCACCTGACTGCAAAGTTGAAGTTCACTGCACATTGTAAATATTGTATTTTAAACTTTTCATAAAAACAGCTGCATTTAACTATGAACGTATATATTTAACTATTTTAATTTAAATTGCACCTTATGCACATCTAAAGCGGCTTTCAGTTTAGAAGGATAAATATCCAGTCCAATCATGCATTATCAAAGTTGTTTTCCAACCTGTGGGATCATGCTGCTGAGTTCTGATATGTTCATTTTGTTATACATAGATTCACTGGTTCGATTCTCAGGTGGAATCATTATCTGTAAAGATACATGTAAACAAATATGCTACTAAGAAATCCACTCTGACTCTATTAACATCAACAGATCTTTTCATAATTCCTTCACTGAAACAAACATTATAGCAAATCTGCTGATATCAAACATAATTATTTTATAATTATATATAAACAGCCACTTTTCTGTATAACTATTTTAACAATTTTCTTCTACTGTATATATTATAATGAATATAATTTATGCTTCTAGTTTTTTGCTTTTACAGATAACTCACAATCATTCATTTCTTGTAAAACACACAAACAGAGTAATTGTCAGTTCTATATTTTATTTGTGTTTATCTATAAATAACATAAACAACAAAAGGCACATCAGGTACCAGTGTCTTATCCCCTGTTCAGAGTTCAACCATTCTCTAAAATTTAGTTCATTTTCATTAACTTTACTTCTTTACTTTACTTTACTTTACTTATATACAATCACATTTATCACATTTAGTAACTTATTTTTCATATCATATCCACATAAAACATTCCCTAATTAATTATATTCACTTTGTCACACATTTCATTTTAACCAACATACAGTGAACTATTTTAATTACATCCAAACATTTCTCAGTGTCCTCCTGAAGAGAAAAAATCTGGCCAGTGTAAAGATTTATTGCAGTTCTTAAATTTTATTTATTGTTTCTCTCATATTCTTTCAGTCAAAAATCAACTAAAGCCTTTCCAGATGTGCACAATTAATAAATCCTTTTAAAGTTTGCATTCAGTCTTGCTAATTTTCTTTTTGAAGAGAATATTAATAGCTTTTTTCCAATTATTAGACACAGATGCTGAATTCTCATACACACTAAAAAAATATCATAAAGCCACTCTTTAAGTAAATTATACTCATATTTTACCTAGAGCCTTTCAATTTTTAATATTCTTGCAGCTTTTGCTACTTTTTCTCCCTACAGTAAATGGGTTATAATTTAGGTTTGCTCTAGTTTTTTTGCTATTTATGTATAACTTGTACCATACACTTTTCTATATAACACTTATCCTGAACTTTGACACAAGTAATTGTCAGTTCTGTATTGAAAGCCATTTTATATTTATCCATAAATAGCTTAAACTAGCCATATCTTTACATTATTGCAAAATGTTTGGTCAGTACATGAATGGTTATTTGTCATTTTGTAAAACATTTGTTTAGGCCTTGTTCTTCAAATCACTTTTATGCCTTAAATTGTGTTCTTATTAATTAATCAGTTTTTTGCTTGCTTGCTTCTTTGTTTTATTTAAATTCTGCTTTAATTTCTAAGATTCCACCCTGTTTTCCCCTGCTTTATATCTTTAATATACAGGGGAGTTTTCCTTGTGACACTCTCCCTGTTTCATACTGGTCAGTGCCTTGTTATGTGTCTTTTGCATTTATTCATTATGCATTTATACATTATAAATGTTTGATGGAAAGTTTTACTTCATTATAAACTGTATCTTGTAAAGGTATTTTTATTACTTCAGTCCACTCAAAAAGATATTTGTCTCAAAAATTAGTTTTAAAGAAGTATTTGTACACATATTTATTTCCTTTAGTGCCTTCTGAAACCTTAGAGCAGGGATGTCAAACTTAATTTACAATACAATACAATAGCAGAGTTGGAAGGGACCTTGGAGGTCTTCTAGTCCAACCCCCTGCCTAGGCAGGAAACCCTATACCATTTCAGACAAATGACTATCCAATATCTTCTTAAAGACTTCCAGTGTTCTTCTGGAGGCAAGCTGTTCCACTGATTAATTGTTCTAACTGTCAGGAAATTTCTCCTCAGTTCTAAGTTGCTTCTCTCCTTGATTAGTTTCCACCCATTGCTTCTTGTTCTACCCTCAGGTGCTTTGGAGAATAGTTTGACTCCCTCTTCTTTGTGGCAACCCCTGAGATATTGGAACAGGCTATCATGTCTCCCCTAGTCCTTCTTTTCATTAAACTAGACATACCCAATTCCTGCAACCGTTCTTCATATGTTTTAGTCTCCAGTCCCCTAATCATCTTTGTTGCTCTTCTCTGCACTCTTTCTAGAGTCTCCACAACTTTTCTACATTGTGGCCACCAAAACTGAATGCAGTATTCCAAGTGTGGCCTTACCAAGGCATTCTAAAGTGGTATTAACACTTCACATGATCTTGATTCTATCCCTCTGTTTATGTAGCCTAGAACTGTGTTGGCTTTTTTGGCAGCTGCTGCACATGCTTTCATTGAGGCTGCATACGGGTGATGCTTAACCTTGGGGTGTGTGGCCAGGGGGCATGGCCGACTCAACATCACTTGTGTTGGGGACACCTACGGTGGCCTGAGCACTCTGCCAGCAACAATGGGCTCCCGAGCTCCATTTTCAGCTGCAACAGCCTCCTACAATTCTCTGCCAGCAAAAACAGAGCTCATGAAGACCACATGCAGCCCTCTCAAGCTCCATTTTTGCTGGCACAGACACCATGGGCTGGTCCTTTACTGTTTCCAGGGTGGCCCCATGGGCCAGATCTAAGTACCCCACAGGCCAGATCCAGCCCCTGGGCCATGAGTTTAACATCCCTGCCTTAGAGGAAAAGGGCCTTATCTATCATGCTATTCCTGCCAACCGCTTTAGGTATACCAGATCAGGAAATCTATTTTACAGGAAGGCTAAAATTATTTTATTATGCTTAGATATAAAAACATTATCTTGCAAATCTTACTGAATTGTACTTCTTCCTTTTTATACTTCAATGAATTAGGGAAGCATCTGCCTGAGTTATTTCTGAAAATAATCTTGTGCTGGACTTAAAGAAATACTTTGCCAAGCTAAGGTTCCTACTTATTTCTTGTCAAAGTCATCTTGCATCATAGTAAAAGTTCCAACATTGAGAACTATGTGTGTGACTTTGCAACACAAATATAAAATAGACAAAAATGTCATTGCAATTTCAGGATATATATTTCCATATTTCCCTCAGTTGCCTTAAATAAGAGCTAAGGTCTCTTATTTAATAACTATCTTGCAAACCGACATATTGATTGTATTTTACTTATTAGGAAGTGCATGAAGCATACAGTTATAGTAAGCTTTAAATATCATATTTGATTATGATTACATATCCTTTCTCTGACCTTTCTCTATAAGCAGGGGATATTTAATTTAAATTTAATGTTTCTGATCATCTTTTTTCAACATTTATTATGGTCAAAGACCAGCATAAGAAGGATGGGGTACAAAAAAATTAAAAAGATAAAAAATACAAAGTACAAAAATAAAATTATATAAAAGACTAGAAAGTATAAAAACAAAAATCTAAAAAGGAATCTTAAGTACTTACTGAATCACTGGTATCAATAGAATTAAAAACATTGAAAATTATATATGTTTAAATATCACTGAAAATATATCTATGCCGGCCAACCTGAAACTACCAGAAAGTTTGAAATATCAAAAATGAGAATATTTTTCACCCTAAGTGGCTAACATTTATTATATGTATGATACTTCACATTATTTGATTGCAAAGAACTGTGGTTCAAAAGAAATACAATGAAAAGAAGGACCAGGGTGACATGATAGCAGTGTTCCAATATCTAAGAAGAAGAGGGGGTCAACCTATTCTCCAAAGCATCTGAAGGTAGGACAAGAAGTAATGGATGGAAACTAATCAAGGAGAGAACCAACCTTGAACGAAGGAGAAATTTCTTGACAGATAGAACAATTAATTAGTGGAATGATTTGCCTCCAGAAGTTGTGTATGCTCCAACACTGGAGATGTTGGACAACTATTTGTCTGAAATGATACATAAATGGTAAATGCTTGAGCAGGGGGTTAGACCAGAAGGCCTCCAAGGTCCCTTCCAACTCTATTATTCTGTTACTCTGTTATTCAAATGTTATTCTAAAGACAGCTAGAAGGAAATAACAGATGCAGAAGAGGCAACAGCAACCAAGATGGCACACTGTCTTGTCACTGAATTCTGGGAAAGAACAGTGCTGAATGGAGAAATAAATCCAGGGTACTTCTGAAGACTGGCTACCACAAGTGCAGTTAAAATCTATACTTAAAAGGGCACTAACCTCAGCAATTTTTATTTCTAATTTAAGCACTGACTTCATATCCAACTCTGCATGTGACGCATTGGCACCCAAAAGGACTGAGGTATCAACCATGAGCTGGAGCAAGGCATCTCTGTACTACAGTGGGTTAAGAATTCAGATATTAATACAGGAAACAACAACAACAACCAATAGCTCAACCAGATAACACTTCTTACCTTATTTTACCTTGAATAGTCTAACATAGCACATTATTTACTCATTTTTATTTTTAATTTCAGTAACAGTATTGCATTTTGATATTATTTAATAGTAAATCTTGCTAGCAGAATTAGCATTAATATCATCACAAATATTAATTAGCATGACATTTGCATTAATCAGCATACATTGAGAAAGTGGATCCCTAGCTTTCTTCAAAAGTTTGGTTTTGAAAGCATATTGAGGAACCAGGATGTGAACTACATCTGTACTTCCTTTATTTTTCTATGTTTTCAGGGAATATTTATGCTCATATTCACAAAACAAGAAGAGAACTCAGACTTGTGCAATGTATGAATGATTGTACTCAGCAAGACATCCTTGGTTGCAACTCATTAATTAACAAAGAAGATTGTGCTGCAAATAATGGTCAATATTGAAAAGGAACGGGGTCATGGAGCAGGGCAGGGTTCTACTGATACTAAGTAACTGACATATTGGTCATGTTTATTGTTTAGAGTAGGGGGAACATGTCGGAATGTGTTCAAATAGTCAATTGCTATATACCATTTTTTAAATCTTCCCCCATATTTACCTACTATGTTGGGAATGATATGTAATTATTGTATAACTAGTAAGTGATAAGGTATATATTCGGTTCCACCACAAAATCGCGGAGGACAAAATCGTGCTCGACGAAAGCGCGCATTTGACATCATCACAGCGCGACGAAAACATTGCGCTGTGATCGAAAAATGTAAAAATAAAGCTAAAACCTTACCCTAACCCCCCCAAACCTAACCCTAAACCTAACCCTAAACCTAACCCTTAACCTAACCCTAAATCTAACCCTAAACCTAACCGTTAACATAACGCTAAACCTAAAGCTAACCCTTAACCTAACGCTAAACCTAACGCTAACACTCTAAACCTAACCCTAACCCTTAACCTAACCCTAAACCTAACCCTTACCTTTATGTGAATCGGCTTGCTTTAATTTTAATTTTATTTCAATTTTTAATTTTTTTCGTCGCGCTGTGATGACGTCACATGCGCGCTTTCGTCAAGCGCAATTTTGTCCTCTGCGCTTTTGACGGGTCACGATATATTCTCACACAATTAAGATTTTCTTTCAGATCACTTTTCATACAATTTATGTAATTTTTTAGCAGAAATATCATCTTTATACTCTGTATAGTGTACAAAATATAAAGGAATGAACACTTAGTTTCCAAGCCTGGTGTTTTGCAGATGTGCTTGGATTTCACCCCTAGAATCCAGCTAGCTTTTGGGAGTTGTAATTCCAGATAGGCTGGGAAAATATCCTGAATATACTTAGGTGATTGAGTAAATAACACTCACAGATTTAGCTTCTGTGGTATTGTCCAGGTAGTCTTCCCGTGCTGATAGAGTCAGAGATGCTTGATCTAACTATATAAATAAAATAAGAATTACTATACATTAGATTTACAAAAACACAATTTGGAGAGTAGTTCTATAACCAGACTTCAATGATAAAATCAAAGATCTTAGAGAAACTACTTGCAAATAGATTTGTAGCAGTATTCCAATACCAACATCCATTGCAGTATTATAAGTTAAAGGGGATGGACAGAATTCAAAAGACACGAAAATGTACACAAAAGCATTTTATTTATTACCCTGGATATTCTGCATTTTTGACAAAATCAATATGTAGATCCTGAGGAGTTTTAATTTACAAAAATGTGAATATTTCATAGCAAGGCAATATAAGAACTACACATTTCTTCAAAAATGAGAATATAGCAATCTACTTTCTGTAAAGAAGATTACTGAAAATTAAATTAGAAATGACTGTAGAATGCCATCAGGAATACTGTTACATTTTTCCAACTTTTAGTCATTTACATATATACATACTAATAACCAGATGTCAGGATGTTGTTGAACACAGATGTAAAAGTTTTATAAATACTGTTAACAAAATTAGCTGAAGGCTTAATTAAATACAGATTTAAAATATGCTGTACCTTCTTGCATATGTGGTTAGGGAAGGAATTCTCTGGCGCATAAATAGCTCATGTTCATGTGGTATTACAAAATTGCATTCCTTCTTTCTTGTTTAATTTTGAATGCTAAGAAGCTATCCAAAAGCTTACATCCTATCTCTGCATGGCTCCCATAATTGAACCTTTATATACATTTATATATAAAGTTAATAATTAACTAAATAATACATCTATGATGTGTTTATTATCTCTACGTTTGTTCCTATCTTTTATACACCATTACAATCTGCATGGGCTTCTAGACATGTTTATTTAAGACAACAATATAATAAGAAGAAATACATTACAGGACTAGCAGTGGCATATTGTCATCATACCAAATGTTTTCTAAAATTGCGGTTTCTAGGAGTTTGAAGATGACCATTAAGATGGACACTGATTAGACCTCCAGGGAAGACTGTCACATAATGCAAGGACCACAATGAAAAAAACAATGGCTGTAATAAACATGGGCCACATCCCCAACAACTTTGTCATTGAGGCCAATAACAGAGATTGTCAAAGATCATACATCAGGTCATTCAATTCCATGTGAAAGAACTGAAGCAATTCGGTCAAACCGATAGTGGAATTCAGGCCTGGGTTACAGAACCAGCAGTTACCCGGGCCTGCCATGCCCCCGAACAAGTTCCCTCGCTGCTGCTTGGCCACCACCATTTTGGATTTTAGTAACTGCACATGTGCAGTTCACTGTAAATTGTTCTGCACATGCACGCATAACAATTTACATTGAACTGCCCATGCATATGTTGTGCGCGGGTTGCAAATCAGCAGTAACACCAGCAGCAACCTATCCCTGGCTTCAAGGTACCTAACAGCCAAGCCATACAGGGCTTTTCAAGATAAAACTAGCAGTTTGAATTGCACTTCAACCAATGCAGAATGGTTGTTTTTTGACTGTTGTGGTTCACCAGCAAGCAGACTACTGTATTTTACATTATCCAGTTTCTAGTATAGATGGTCTTTAAAGCCAGTCCTGTTTAGAACACATTGCTGCAGTCCAATTGCCAGGATCTGCTACTCCAGATTAAGGACAAAATACTAAATAATAAAATGAAATTAATTGAAAATACCACCTGTATGGTTTCCTTAATAATACCTTTATGATGTGCTCATTAGAAGCCTTATCATCTGAAGCCACATATAATCGGATGA